CCATTCGAGGTAAACTCCATGGTTGTTATATTGACATGTCAATACCATCCAACGATTAGGGGTACAGTTACCTCCCGCCATTGGAATCAATAATGACTGTGGCAGTACCCGAACCCGAGGCTTCTCAAGAGCATTAGTCGATCTCTAGCAGAAGAGCCTAACCTCGATTGTATATAGGCATGAAATACGAATGTAGCCCGGCACAGATCAGCCCTGCCGCCCAGAGGGCAGATGCAAGACACTCAAGCTAGACGGGTACTGGTCTTTTAACAAAAACGGAGTCGCAACCGTGGGGCTCTATGTCTGTCTGTATGTATGCACCGCCCATACTGCCCGCATACTTACCATAACATGGAATCGCAAACGAAGTTGCCCAGCGCGTTCTCCCGGGTACGTACGTAAAGGCGATCACCACTCAGTAGGCTGGGGCTGTACGCTGCAGAAATACAGGGGTTGCCGTCGTACACGTACCAAAATCACACATGCACAAGGAGATACGGAACCCATAAAATGGAGGCCGGTGGCCGAATCAAAGAGGTCGTTGGGCAGGCGGGCAGATGTACAACAGGATGGGTGGTGATCATGGAGGGTCTTGGTATGACCCCCACACATACGTATGCACTGTGACGCTTCCTCAGCTACAGCCCTATAAAATGCTAGGACACAATAACGTCATGCTTTCTTAACGATCGTAATGCTGAGGATGCACGTCGCATTCCGCAAAACCTGGGACGCACTGGGGTAAACCCCACGGTTCCCACCTCACCCTACGTGCCCCCCTCACAGCTCTCCCGAACACTTCCATGCATGCACGCAACGGCTCCGAAAGGTTTCTCACCGATTTTGATGCTGCCCAGAGAGCGGACGGGTGCAGCGTAGCTGTCGATAAGGCTGAGGGTGGCAGGGTCACGCGGCACGTTGTTCGAGCTGGCGCTGCCTCCGAGCAGTACAGGCTGACCGTTGTACTTGACCAAGTTGCCAGCGGCATCAAAGCTGAGGTCTATGTTGCCCATGTAGCGACTTGCGTAGAAGGCCTGCGTGTGGTGTGGAGGCGGCGTGGTGTTGGTGCATATTAGCCGTGATGGTGGTGGTGATGGTGATGGTGATGGTGTTGATAGGTGTGATGCTGGCTGAGGAGGTTATATATTATTGGAGAGGACGGACAGCGGAAGAGAATGGTGGTTGCGAAACATACATGCTGTTGTAGGGGAATGCTTGGGGAATGAACACATGGCATTGGTACTTGTCCTGGTGTTGGTGTTGGTGTTGGTGTTGGTGTTGGTGTTGATGTTGATGTTGGTGCTGGTGTTGGTGATGGTAATTAATGGTGCTGGCTTGGGGGTACTTATGGGTACACGGTTGTGGCGGCTATGATGATGCTGGTTCTAATGCTGGCGAAGGTGTTGAGTGACGGTGATAATGTTAGTGATGATATAGTGGTGTTTGGGAGTGGCGTTGGGTGCTCATGTTGCTGATGCTTTTAGTAGTGTTGCTGCTGACAGTGGTGACGACATATATAGATGACGGTGGCGATGGCGATACGATGGTTCAGAGCCGTGGGCACGGCCTAGGTGCAAGGCGCCGCCAGCACGCCTACTAATCCCCTCCTACTGCCCCTCCGCCCGTTTCCCCTCCCCCTCCTACTGCCACTCCGCCCGTTTCCCCTCCCCCTCCTACTGCCACTCCGCCCGTTTCCCCTCCCCCTCCTACTGCCCCTCCGCCCGTTTTCCCTCCCCCTCCTACTGCCACTCCTCCCGTTTCCCCTCCCCCTCCTACTGCCCCGCCTGCGAAAGACGTCCGTCCTTGAACCCGTTGCTGGTTTTGTCCGATTGGATGTCGGATAGGCAAATGTGCTCCTTCCAAAATTCCTGCGGGTCCCCCTTTTGTCTGTCTTTCACCCGACTACCCACCATCCCCCCTAGCTTGCGTAACGTAAATGACACACCTGCACGATGGGGATCATCTTTCCGGGTGTGACCAGATTTTCCACGAGGACGGGGTACGACTGGTTGGGCATCTGTCCGCTGTTGGGATTGTTCGCAACTGCGGAGCAAGTGGGAAGCGAGAGTCCCGACACGGGTTGCTGGACAAAACCGCGAACGCTGTTGGCGGCAAAAGCGTCACAGGCGCCATAAGGGGTCCCAACGGCGAACAGGACGTGGGTTTAAGCAAAAAAGCGGCCTGCTGGTATGATAAACCTGGGACGGACGCAACCACATGGACATGTCCCAGCAGTACATTGTCGCAGCATATACATGCAGTCAAACACGTGCGCACGGGAGAAACGATCAAAATAGCTATTGTGGACCGTGCTTAGAGTATTTAGTACGCATATAGTCCAGAAGGTCTACTAGGGTTTCATGATGCGCCTGATCCTTCAAGAGCGCCAAAACTCCGAGACTCTACAAACCTATCAAAACCGTAAACCCTAAATTCCGAAATTCGAGCTCACCGAGAGGAGGACCCCGGGTTGTTCCGTCGCCATAGAAGAAGAGGTGGTTGAGACCACCCACGATGAAATCTAGCTCCGGAACTTGCTCCGCCACCTCGGTGTCGTACCCTGCGTGGGGGAAGGGTACGACATAATTATGGTGCAGTATGGCCGTACCGAGTACCGCCCCGGTTCATACGACGCGGTTTTCCTCCTAGTGGAGCATACCGGCCTGTGCTGGTTCTTTTATATTTTGTTGTGTTCCTGTCCTTGTGACTTACACAAGCCCGCATGGGAAAGAGCGATGATAATGTTGACCCTGTTGCCGTACTCGGCCTTCATCGCCTGGATGGCGGCCTTGACGGCGGGCACAATAAGGCCGAAGTCCACCTCCCTTCCGCCCAAAGACGTGTTGACGGTGCTGGGTGTAATGTAACCCACAATGCCCACCTGCGAAACAGACAGCAAACCGGGCATGCGACATGTTGCCCAACACCATTATTTTGTAAGTTAATCCTCTTACTCAACACAAGTACTGGGGGGTTTCATGCAGTACATTACATTCGTACATTCGTACATAAAAGGCATTGGCTTGCAGATGGGCCTGCTGTGACAAACCTCAAACCTTTCAAACATTTTTCAACTAAACTCCGACTTGCGGTCTGCCGCACTGTCCATATGGCATGCACCCGGGATGGATGCGATTCGCGTGGAGCCCGCAGGTGGTGCTGACGATTCCGCCGGTGCAAGCTTAGCTCCCACACCATCAGCACTGCTGCAACAAAGCACATCTCCCACCGCGTTGACACAACCCATCAATTGTCACACGTGCCGCGCTAGCTACCGGCCTGTACGGATGCAGGGTGGCCCCGCCCTTTTTCCGGCTTCGAGGAAGCCGACATCCGACTTGTCAACTAAACTCGACAATGTGTGATAGAGGTCACGCAATAGGATGGAGGGAGCTTACTATGGTAGCTCTGAAGTTTGGCGGTCCCCTCCACTTCCCCTGCGAGCTGGCCGCTTGCACGGTAGTGGCTCCACACTCACCTGCACACCCGTGCTACCCAGCTCCACCACAGAGTAAGGCTTGATTAGCTTGGCCAAAGCCGGAGCGCGACTAGCGTCGATGTTGCAGCTCACGATCGGCATCTTGAGCTGCTCAAGGTACGACACCAGAGACGCAACTTCCCAGTCAAACTGCAACAGCATGCGGAGAACGGGCCCGGCGGCGGTGGCGGCGGTGGCGGCAGAAATGTCATACAAAAAAATATACACTGCAGAACTATCGGCTTTGCTTCGTTAAATAAAATCGATACTTCGGGTTGGAAACGCGGAACTGTCATGGTACCCAATTGTATGTACGGCACGGATGACACGGATCGCCCATTTCATTTTGTGGATGACTGAGATCCTGTTGATGTTGTTACAGGGTGGTTAAGCTTCACCAGCGGCCCCCTTTCCCGAGGCAGTTCCCTGCTCTCCCCTGCTAGAGGGGCACCCTAATCCATTCACCCCATCCGACTTCTGAGTGTACTCTTTGGGTTTGTCAACTCACCACCAGCATCCAACCAAATCTGGGCGCGTCAAGTTAGTTCCTGGTCAGCTCGCGAGTTGATTTTATCACGTCCTACACCGTCCACAAGATGGGGGGCCACCTCCCATTTCATCATCTCTCAAACACCCCGAGAGGTGGGCAGGCGGATTTGAACCCGGACGCGCCGGGACGCGACGGGAGCAGAAGCCAGGCCTTAACCTCTGCCAGCCGCCTGCCTTTGCCTCCTGTTGATAAGCCCCTTGGATGGCAAGGCCATTTGCTGGGTGACATTTGCCGGGTGATCTACCTGAAGCACCCAATCAGCTGCCTACCGCCAGTGCGCACGGAGGCCCATGGTTTTCCTTAGATCCCCGGGTCAGGCCCCGGCTCGAGCAACGGGCCGGTGCTGCATCAACAGCCACATGGGCTGACGTTGCAAGTGCCCCAGGGAGGGCCCCATCACAACGGTAACCGAGGCCTCCCTTTGGAGAGATTCACACACGCACACACATAAAGCGAATTGTACGTACCTCGTGGTCGCCCAGTGTCTATATCATGGGAGGCGTTGGACAGTATGTGATTCGCGGTCGGCAGCCAAAGCAGGAGAAGGATCAATGCGGGGAGCAACAAACGGATAGCGGAGGAGGTCAAGGCGGCCACAGCAAAGGGAAGGACAAATGTTCGGCAGAGAGCGGAGCAACGAGAAAGTCACGACATCCAAAACAACAAGTGCAAGCCGTCTCTTCGTGCATACTAGCTGGACCCTGAAAAGGCCTCTCAAGATGATGGAGGAGCGAGCGCCTTAGGCGTATTTGTAGACAATGTGTGCCGTACTCTGTACGGCTACTACATTGTGGCTGCTTCCAATCAGCGTGTGTCGGAAAGACGCGATCGAAGCAAGACGCTAAATAAACGTGAACAAGACGTTTCCGTTATCACACTATATGCCTTACCCTTTCCTTCTCGGCCTAGGTTTAGGTACAATGCACGCACTCGTACATGGAAAAAGGTTTTCCTCCTGCGGCGCGCATTCACCTAAGGGGAATCGCGCACACTTACAAAAGCGTCAACACCGATGGCATTCTGGAAGGCTGCCGACGGCGCCCGATTCCGATACACGTAATCCCAGATAGTGCCAACGGACATGTCGCCACCGTCCAGGAGCAGTACGTTCTCCTTCGATGCCCGTACGGACTTGATGTACGACGCCATGCGAGCGAAGCCGCCGTAGCAGACGCCTTGCGCCTGCAGATGGAGAAAAGCCATGCGGCCACCCGCGTGCCATGCACATTATTATTTGTATCTGTGCGCTCGACATGAAAGTTTGGAGGCAGTCTAATTGACGTAGCCAACTCATGAAACACACACACAGACATACAGACACACAGACGCACAGACACACAGACACACAGACACACAGACACACAGACACACAGACACACAGACACACAGACACACAGACACACAGACACACAGACACACAGACACACAGACACACAGACACACAGACACACAGACACACAGACACACAGACACACAGACACACAGACACACAGACACACAGACACACAGACACACAGACACACAGACACACAGACGCACAGACGCACAGATGCACAGACGCACAGACGCACAGACGCACAAACGCACACACGGTGCTTCATTAATTGCAACGAGTTGTATGTCCGCCTGCAAGTCTGCACGCCTGTGCGCCCGTCCACCCGCCAGTTGAGTTGGAACCGCCCATACGTGTTAAGGATAAGGAAAAGCGACTCGCATCTGCACCACCTCGTTGGAAGCAAGTTAACCATCAGAAGAACTATTAGATAGTGACAACCGCGATGATGAATCCTTCCACACCATTTTTCTTCGATCCATAAGCCAGGTACGTATGTACGTATCCAGTTTCTCACCTCCAGAGCTTCCGTGCAGGGCCCAAAGGTGCTGGTGGCAGCTTCAACACGCGAGTGCACATCGCTGTAGTGCAGCAGCGTAAAGTCAACGGCGCTGGAACCCATCTCGGTTGTTGGCGCCGCGGAGCAGATGCCGCTGCTGCCGCCCAGGTCGCAGCGGCTGGTGCCTCCCTCGGCAGCAGCGTAGCCGGTGATCTGCCGGGACAGGAAGAGAGAAGCAGGGCCATCGGGCATGAGGAAGGCATGTGTGAGAAGAGAAAAGCATTTAAAGAGGGTATTGGGATGTTGTAAGCATTATGAGAGAAAATCTTGCAGAATAGAGTAGTATGGGGAATGGGCAATGGCGAGCACTGTAAGGCATTTGAAGCATCGCAATAGAGAACATGCAGAAGCTGTGTGGGCAATGCCAAGCACGCGACAGAGAAGGGACGGGCGGTGTCACACTAAACCATTTGATGTCACAAATACATACATACATGCCGGCTCCTCGGGTGTTTGAGGAGTGTTGAAATGGGAGGTGGCCCCCCATCATATGGACGATGTAGGACGTGATAAAATCAACTTGCGAGCTGACCAGGAACTAAGTTGATGCGCCGTTGATCCGCTAGATTTGGTTGGATGCTGGTGGTGAGTTGCCGAACCCAACGAATACATTCTGAAGTCGGATGGGGTGACGGATTAGGGTGCCCCTCTAGCAGGGGAGAGCAGGGACTGCCCCGGGAAAGGGGGCCGCTGGCGAAATTAACCACCCTGTAACAACATACATACATGCATGCACACATGCGGACGCGCATACACGTCTTGCATGCCTCCCATGACCATGTCAGCGCGTTATTGCCTCCGGGAGTAAAATTATTATTATTAATGATGATGATGATGATGATGATGTACGTTATGTTACATGGTGGGAGCTCTTCATGGTGAAAGCGCGGGGCCGTAAGTAAATAAATGTGTTTATATGCCGGATCCACTCCATGCATTCCTTTTACAATCTGTAGACTTTCCTTTATAGAAATTTCTTCATGGTGGTCGTCTGGCAAAGTGAGTTTGTGAAATCCAAAAGGCACACACACACACATATCAGCATGCGTCGCTGCGGCGGTGCACAGGTGGCCACCTATTTTGCGCACTACTCGCAGCACGTGTGAAATGGTCGTCATCTCAGTAGAAAAAACTCACGGGCGACTTGTACGACAGGAATTTCTCCACAGCCTCCACGACAGACGGCCCGGCTGCCACCGTCGTCTGCGCCGCCTTGACGCTCGTGTAGCCATCGCCGCCTGGACAAAGGGTGCGCGGAAGGCCGGGGAAGGGGGGAGAGGGATAGGAAAGGTATGGGACGGGATGGTAGGAAGATGCATGTGGCATCGTGTTGGAAGATTGCACAAGCAGTAACGATGGCAATGCGAACGGCGGCGGTGTGGCAACAGCAGTGCAACATTTCACGTCCAGCAGGCAGGCGATGATGTCACCCGAGGAATATCGCGTGTCAGTTTACGAACGTATGTATATACATATGTATGTGCCCCCCTAGAAGTTTCCTTCCAAACAAGCATTTCGGGAGCCGTACTCCTCATAGATCCACAGAGTCGTACACGTACCCGCCGCCATATAATCGTTGGTCACCAAGGCATACTTGGCGGATGGGTTGACGGGCGAATACGAACCGTCTGTGTTCTTGACCTCAATCGCCGACACGCGCTGGTTGCGCGGCTTGGTGGCGTCGTACGCAAATCGAAAGCCGCCCACCTGTCGAAAGATGAGGGGAACACATTAAAGAGGGCTATGCACTTTCGTACTACGTTGTTTCGCATTCAGCCTGCCTGATACTTCAGCTAACTCTTCAATTAACTCTAAATCTGATGGTGAGTTTGAAACCCATAGAAGAACTAGAATGCAGTACTTAAAGCGCAACGCGTCCATTGACGGGCCTCGTACCAAACAAGGTCTTTGACAAAACTGCTTCAAATAGTTTTGATGTATCAAAATGCTAACCACAAGTTATTTACTATACAACTATAGGCTTAAGTATAACTACAACAGAGTTTTCCTTCGGCAATTCGTTATATAACCATATTAAGCTGATTATTGGCTTCGAAGAAGTTAAAGACTTGAAGATAAACAAAGTGTCGAATGATTACCTTGAACTGCTTTACCTGGTAAACAATTACCAACAAAACCATCGTTTGCCTCTATCCTAGCGTACCCCTTCGGTAACATAATTAAAACCTGCGGTCGTCGTCCCTTTTGTCCCCTTTGGTTCCAACTTCGGTGTAACCCGTAAAAACTGATTTGGGTCACAATGACCGACAAAGGGGTATTCAATTTGTTCGGGGACGATGGTAAGCAACCCAAACAGGACGACGAACGTCCCTTTATCGTCAATGCACGTCATCCTATCCATATGTTTTCATTAACCTCGCTTAACATTTCACATTGTATTCGCGAGAAGGGAAATCCTTCCTTCTTTCATCCCGCCGTACAGCGCCCTACAGCAACATTAATATTAAATTGTTACTAAGCGCAGCGCACACATGCACACGAACCTGAGCGAATTGTCCGAGTGCCTCCCCGGCAGCGATGTTGCCGAGCACACTGTTCTCCAGAGCCGAGCGCAAGCCCAGGCCGGTGATAACCTTAAGCACCAGGACGTTGCCGAATGGTAGTGCGGCCTCGATGTGGCCTGCGATGTGGGTTTTCCGTATGAGGGTATGCGTGCGTAATTGAATCCACTGCGATAAATATATCCATGCTAATGACCAGCAGGCTACACGTTTTTTACGGAAGGTTCAATGACCAATTCCGCAGGTTGTGTGGAAAATTTTAGAGATTTAGGTGCGGACAGCTGAAGGGAAGGCAGGGGCCGGGAAGCGGTCTGGCAAAGGCAAAGAGTACGACAATGGATTGGGCACGAAGCGCACGTGTTGCGGCCCCGGCGGGCCACGTGGGTCAGGTACAGGTGCGTTATATGATACCCCATGGACGTGCGACCCGGGGCGGAGAAACGGGTTTGGGAGGCCGCACAGGCGTCAAGATCACCTTCAAACCCTAAAACCCTAAAACACCCTAAAACTCGACCAGGAACATATGTGCCGTCGCCTAATGGACGAACTACTGCTGACCAAGGGTTCATTACCTTGTCGTGTGCGGTCGTGTGTTGTGTCACGTGTAAGAAAATGGCTGGGGGCTGCGACATGTGATGCGACATGTGATGCGTGGGTTCGCTAAGAGTAAGTGTAGTAGCTGGCCGCTGAAAAGGCCTCTCGAGATGCTGATCGAGCGTTTAAAGCGAATTTGTAGCTGATATGTGTGCCGCTGATACGTGTACCAGTTACTACGGTAGATACGATGTACGATGTCGTACATAAAGCATACCTGTGGTGACCGGTCCAGCAGGGATATCCGCGCGAATCGAACCAGAGTTCACCAGACAAATCTGCGGCTTAACGCCTGTAGATACCTGTTCAGAAATGCAACAACGAAGGAGGTTATCAAGATGAAAAAACGTGATCGGCGCATATCTTGTTGGGGACAAAGAAGAGAGCAGCAGGCCGGCACTGATCAGGCATGGCACATTCACGAACACGCGGCACTAGACGACAATAGACATACAGGCACGCAGGATTTCCGTCAACCGCACAGGACGGTTCACGCGTACGGCATTTGCCTGCACGGCACATTAGATGACAAAATTGCAGTACTCATTTGAAGTTCACTCCTTGAATCGCACGCGCAATGCTGATGAAAATGGTCCTTGTGCGTGCCTTGTGTTCTGAATCGTTGAGTGTCTAAAGACCTGGGGCTGGATCTAGACCAACCCCCATAACCAACCAACCATGCCTGCCACCCTGGCCTTCCATCCCCCTCTCCACCCTGCGGCACCCCCCCCCTCCCAACGCACCTCTGCATACCACATCATGGCGTCACAGACGAAGTCACCGATGGGGGCCTGGCCCAGACGGATAACGTTCTTGTCGGAAACCAGGGTGTGCGACAGAGTGCCCAGTGCGCAGGAGGCGGTGGAGGTGGGCGCCGCGGAGCAGATGCCGCTGCTGCCGCCCAGGTCGCAGCGGTTGATGCGGCCCTCGGCAGCAGCGTAGCCGGTGACCTGCAGGGACAGGAAGGAAGAGACAGGCATGAGGTGCAGTTCGCACGAGCAGGGACTAATAACAGGGAGCGCAATGGGAAAGCGAGGGTCGTGTTGTACCACGTCTTATCGCAGGAAAAGAACCGATCGGCGGATGACAGGGAGATGAAGGCAAAAATAGCAGGGCCGCTGGTGAAGCTATACCACCCTGTAACAATATCATATATACATAATGATGTGTGAAACAGGGGGGTGTATCTTCGCCCGTGACAGCTACCCTGCGAACCCTGCCTTCCCCGGTATTTCGGGGCACCCTCATCCAGTTACCCTAGTCAACTTCTCAGTGGATCGCTCAGGTTCCGCACCAAACACCAGCATCCAACGGAATCTGCCGGGTCGACAGCGGGCCCAACTCCATTCCTGGTTGGCTCGCAGGTTAACTTTATCCCAGGTCACAACCATCCATCAGGGGCGCAATACCTTCCACTATCGGACAAATTTTTGACCCTTACGGGTATCGATCCCGGGATCTCCCGGGGGCAATGGTTGCGCGTTACCAATAGTGCCAAACCCTAGCATATACATGATGTATACACACCTGCCTCTCCCTGATCTATATAATAAGCCTCACCACCCGGCCCGCCATTAGACGCCACCGTTGATCCGGCAAAGTCCACGGGATAATGCTGGTGGTGGGTGCTGAACCCCCAAACATTCACTGACTTCGCAGAAGTCGCCACACATGCGTGATGATGAGGAGGATGAGGGTGGTGCCCCGAAACATCGGGGAAGGTGCTTGGGGGACTGCCGGGCTAATGGCCACGGGTGAAGTTGTTATACCCCCCACTACTTCACACAATCAGTGATCGTGGTTTTTAGAAACTTACAGGCGAATTGGACAGGAACTCTACCACGGCATCCACGACGGCAGGTCCTTCGGCCAAGACCGTCTCGGCGGCCGCAAGGACCGCGTAGCCATCACCACCTAGTCAGATGGGCATGGGGGGACCCGGCGGGGAAGGGCGGAATGTGAGCTGCATGAGGGAGGATGCATATAACTGGTTCGAAATGCGAAGATGCGGTGCAACATCACTGGCAGCGCAACGGCCCAGGGGAAAGCAACGAAAGAGAACCTCATCGCGGGAACCTATTCATCCTTTTCATTGCCAGCAGGGTTTAACACCCAACTGTTATGTACCGTGCACTGTGGTCATATATGTATGTGTGTAGAATCCTGGGCATATCATGGGATCTGCATCCGCCGATCGGTATTTTCTGAAGCCGTGATATAACAATATGCACGTTTTTGCCAAGCTTCTCAATGCGTTTCATTTCCTAATGAGAACAACCATGCCTGTATGTCTGTAATGAGGCATTTCCGTATAAGCTTCCGCATCTGTACACTTACCCGCTGCCATATAATCGTTGGTCACCAATGCATACTTGGCGCAAGGATCGATGGGCGAGTACGAACCGTCAGCGTTCTTGACCTCGATCGCCGACACGCGCTGGTTGACCGGCTTGGTTGCGTCGTACGCAAAACGGAAGCCGCCCACCTGTCGAATAAGGTGCCACGGCGCACGCGGTGGCCAACAAGTTTTGCTTAAGACCAGTGAGCTTCAATACGTACTGCTACGTAATTTTTATTCCACGAAGATTCCTGTCCTTGCTGGAGGACATCGTTACAGACTTCAGCTTTGGCCTTTAGTGCCGAGTTGGAAGCTACATCCCCCATCACACACCAGTCAAAGGCCCAGGGGTGTGGCTGCTACTGCTGACGCTGGTGATAATGCTGCCGCTGGCGGTACTGCTGACGCCGTTGGTATTTTGCTGCTGCTACTGCTGTTCTTACTGGTGCTACAGCTACAGTTACAGTTACAGTTACTCCTACTGCTAGTGATACTGCTATTGTCACCGTTACTGTTAGTGTTGCTGCTGTTGCTGCCAACTGGCAACCCCACCTGTGCAAATTGCCCGAGTGCCTCGCCCCCGGCAATGTTGCCCGCCACGCTGTTCTCGAGAGCTGACTTGAGGCCCGTGACGGAAATGCTCTTGACCACAAGGGTATTGCCGAACGGCAGAGCGGCCGCGATTTGACCTGCGGCATAGGCATTTTGCAGGGCGTTACGGTTTGACACTGTGCTTACAAAGTGCATAGCGATATTGATACTGCATATGTGTTAAGTGTGCTTGTTATGTTTGTATGTGTCAATACGTGTACATATAATAATGCTTCCACAAATAATGACAATAATAGTAATTGTAATAAATAATAATTAATATGACAGTTATAAATCTAAAATACATGTAAAATACAACTTGAGGTGCGTTCAAAAATGTAACAAGTGTGAGCCCGTGCGAGCCCAGCCAAGGGCCCAAGGGTCAGACAGAAGGCAGATCGAGGTAACAAGATTACAAACCGCACATAAGGTAATTATTGGTCTGCTAAAGAAGGAAAGGGTGGGTTTAAAGCCATAGCAGTGTGCAGTACGAGTGCAGTTAGAAGATCGAGCGAAGAAGATGGGCAGAGAAAAGAGATGGAATAACCAAGATGTTAGGAACATGAAACACCATTCCACAAATTTGAAGAATGAACAGACGCCCCCTACGGAACGGGACACGTAGCCTTTTCCTTAGAGACGCTGTCTTTAATGAAGACTGTGCCTCTTGTTTTGTTCAACAATTTGTAGGACTATGAATTATCGACCTACAAACGGTAGGGACATGGTAGCTGGGATGCAGTGCACATACATACAGCCCGCGCAATGAGTACGGTGTTGTACATTCAGCATACCTCCGGTCACCAGTCCAGCAGGGATGTCCGCGCGAATCGAACCAGAGTTCACCATGCACAAATTCGGCCTCGCGCCTGTAGTCATCTGTTCATACACGCCACCGTGAGGAGGGAAGATGGGGGCAAGGAGTATGCGGGTGGGCTTCCGTTGGCCAAAACACACGATTATTTACGACAACACGTGTTCCCGTACACGTACTGCTGCACGCTGTACAAAACTAGATTGCAGAACCACAGACACACACAGAGGATAGCATCACCCGAGTTGGTCCTGCAGGCCGTCTGGATGCCCGATGCGGGTTTTAGTACATGCGGATTTCGGAGCTGATTTCACTTTTCCACAGGGCCCCCGGGGGTCCCGTCCTCCATTACCACACGTGAACCTTCGCGCACCTCCGCATACCACATCATGGCGTCACAGACGAAGTCACCGATGGGGGCCTCGCCCAGGCGAACAGTGGCCTTGTCGGAAACCAGGGTGTGCGACAGAGTGCCCAGTGCGCAGGAGGCGGTGGAGGTGGGCGCCGCGGAGCAGATGCCGCTGCTGCCGCCCAGGTCGCAGCGGTTGATGCGGCCCTCGGCAGCAGCGTAGCCAGTGACCTGCAGGGACAGGAAGGAAGAGGCGTGAGGGCCATCGGGCATGAGGAAGACATGTGTGAGAAGAGCTAAACATTAGAGGGGAAGAAAAGATGGGAGAAGGGAGGAACGTGTGCTACGAACGAAAGCATGTGTGATGGAGGTGGTCGGAGGCGGCTTAAGGATATGCCAGGAATAGAGATGATAATCGCGAGATCATACGATCAAATCTTGCTTGAAACAAGACAAATCAGGGATATCAGCGTTATAATCCTATGCGCTGTCCAGGGATCAAGTAGTATGATCAGCCCGAGATAAGTTCTCAATGTTGCCTTCGACATCTGTCTGCGGATTGAAACGTTCTCCCTCCAAACACAAGCCATTGAACCATTTCAAGGTGGATTACATGGCGCCGGCGTGAACTTTGCTACGTTATGCACCACCCTCGTAGTGCGTGATCCCCATCACCAGCAGGGGTGAAATACAAATGAGATTATTCAGTAGGAACAATAATGCAGTTGCACTGACCAAAGCTTGGCGTGGGTTAAGGCCGGGGCTCGGGAATTGAGGGGTATTTCTGCCCCTATATGCCCCTGGGCAACATCCACTAGGATAACGCACTTTAAACAAGCACACAAGCACACATGCATACACACTAACTTGCGAGCTGACCAGGAACTAAGTTGAGGCGCCGTTGATCCGCTAGATTTGGTTGGATGCTGGTGGTGAGTTGGGAACCCAACGAATACACTCTGAATTTGGATGGGGTGAATGGATTAGGGTGCCCCTCTCGCAGGGGAGAGCAGGGAACTGCCTCGGGAAAGGGGGCCGCTGGTGAAGCTTAACCACCCTGTAACAACATACACATCCTGCACGCCTCTTGTCCTTCTCCCTCCATCCCCTACTCGGCCGCATGCTCGGGTCACACTGATTTACCAGGCTGGCGCAAAATCAATCAGCAAGTAAGGGTTGTATTCATAATAAAAAAAACTCACGGGTGACGTGTACGACAGGAATTCCTCCACAGCCTCCACAGCAAAAAGCCCCGTCTCCGCTACCGTCTGCGCCGCCCTGATGGTTAGGTAGCCATCGCCGCCTGACCAGAGGGAGTGGGGAGGGCCGGGGAAGGGCGGAGAGGGATAGGAAAGGTATGGAATGTAAGGGTGTATTGGTAGGCCAACATCAACCCGCATGGCATTACAGACCCTAGCACAAGATCGTGCTATGCTAGCACAAGATAGTGCTATGCTAGCACAAGATAGTGCTATGCTAGCACAAGATAGGGCTATGCTAGCACAAGATAGGGCTATGCTAGCACACGATACTGTGCTAGGGGGCTCAACAACTCGGCATCAGGCCCCAAAGCAGCAGCAGTAGCTGCAGCAGCTGCGAATCCAGTATGACCCACAGCAGTTTGAAAGTCAGCGGAGGAGGTCAACAGAAGGACAACTTAGGCAGATGGTGGTTTCTCGCTTTCAAAGAAAGGTCGTAGTGACAGCAGTGTAACAACCAACACGCTGGGCGACGCTGCCATCACCTGTGTCAACGGGTATCCTAATATTAGGGCAACCACCGCATCTAGGCCGTACAGCTGTACGGAGCCCGTTGCAAAAGGCCGTGGGATTCACAGTGTTACCCTAATATGTACGGCAGCTGATGGGTAGCGACGCTACCATGGTGTGTGTGTATATAACATCACTAGCAGGCACGTGATGTGTTCTTTTGTCGCCGTCATACTGCTTGTGTGCCGCCGATGATGTTTATGTGGCCCCCCAACCCCCATGCTCTTTGTGCCGTTCAAGCCGTACACTTACCCGCCGCCATATAATCGTTGGTCACCAAGGCATACTTGGCGCAAGGATCGATGGGCGAGTACGAACCGTCCGCGTTCGCAACCTCGATCGCCGACACGCGCTGGTTGCGCGGCTTGGTGGCGTCGTACGCAAAACGGAAGCCGCCCACCTGTCGAATGATGTGAAAGCATGTAGTTACATTAAAAAACACAGGAAGCTGAGGAAAGCCTTTGTGCACGACCCGGGTGTTTTTTGAGCCTGCTATTAAGACTACTGCTACCATCAGCCGTTTCATTTATCAAACAGTCGTGCACGCATAAACGCCGGTACGGCAGACGGCGTCAGGGCAAGAGCTTTGCCCGAGCTTTTTGAGGGAGAACCCGTAGTCTCGTTGAGCTGATAATGTCTGTTCCGTCATTTTCTTCTTAAACTGTATTTAACTTAAGCAGTGCCGTACATATTTCACCACCGGTTTCTTCACGCGGCCCTAAGGTTGGGCACCGGTACCGATCAGCGGCCCGCCTGGTGTCGCGGTCTTAAAGGAACACCCCATCGCAGGACGGATGCGGTTAATAGTGCCAACTGCCTACTGCCAACTGCCAACTGCCAACTGCCAAATCGCAGTACGGAAATGTACAAGTACCATAGCCTAGTGTCGCCGTCATGTACCTCGTACACGGCCACCTCACCTGTGCAAACTGCCCGAGGGCCTCGCCCCCGGCAATGTTGCCCTCAACGCTGTTCTCGAGAGCCGATTTGAGGCCCGTGACGGAAATGCTCTTGACCACAAGGGTATTGCCGTACGGCAGGGCGGCAGCGATTTGGCCTGCGGTTAGGTGTTTTTATGTTATTTTGCACAACACCGTTTTATTTTAAGTAATGCAACACTGACACTGTTTTCTGTGTGTGCTGCTAGTTCGGACCGTGTGTTGCATGAACTGCATGGGAATTGTGTCTGTATTGCGTGACCTTGTCTCCGATATGTAAGTGGAGACGGTGGGTGCATGGTAGCTGCGATGCAGTGTACATATTTAGAACATGCCTACTGTGTACGACGTCGTACATTCAGCATACCTCCGGTCACCAGTCCAGCAGGGATGTCCGCGCGAATTGAACCAGAGTTCACCATGCACAACTTCGGCCGCACGCCTGTAGTCATCTGTTCATAGACGCCACAGTTACAGGAAAAGGAGGGAACAGGGGGGCCAAGAGATATGCGGGTGGGTTTCCGTTGGCCAAAACACACACACACGATCATTTACGACAACTTACATATGTTCCCGTGAACAAAATGCCGCACACTGTACAAAACTCGATTGCAGAACCACAGACACACATAGAGGATAGCATCAGCCGAGTTGGTCCTGCAGGCCGTCTGGATGCCCGATGCGGGTTTTAGAACATGCGGATTCGGAGCTGATTTCACGTTTTTCACAGGGCCCCAGGGGTCCCGTCCTCCATTACCACACGTGAACCTTCGCGCACCTCGGCATACCACATCATGGCGTCACAGACGAAGTCACCGATGGGGGCCTCGCCCAGGCGAACAGTGGCCTTGTCGGAAACCAGGGTGTGCGACAGAGTGCCCAGTGCGCAGGAGGCGGTGGAGGTGGGCGCCGCGGAGCAGATGCCGCTGCTGCCGCCCAGGTCGCAGCGGTTGATGCGGCCCTCGGCAGCAGCGTAGCCGGTGACCTGCAGGGACAGGAAGAGGGAGCCGTGAGGGCCATCGGGCATGAGAAAGACGCGTGTGTGTGCACTGCGGCTCCAACCGCCCCACATACAACGTAATCACTAGTCACGCCATACGTGCTTTAGACGCTATAAATGTTTAGACGCTATACCTATCTACCATACAGGATATGCTCGGTACGCGACTTATCGTACACGCGGCATATGCTACATATCCTACATATGCTACATATGCTACACAAGGGTTATAGCGTATAAGCGACCTATGAGACACCAGAGGCACACTCGGTAGCAACAGCGGTAAAAGTACACGTTCCAAAGCCTGGCGTGAATGGGGGCGCGGGGACCTGCTGAGGGGCGAATGGGTCCCCGCGTATCCCTTGGTACCACCTACGGGGGATTCAACGCGCACATACACACACACAGACAGACACACAGACACACAGACACACACACACACAGCCACGCACACACACAGACACACACACACAGACACACAGACACACACACACAGCCACGCACACACACACACAGACAGACACACAGACACACACACACACAGACACACACACACAGACACACACAGACACACACACAGACACACACACAGACACACACACAGACACACACACACACACACACACACACACAGACACACACACATATATGCGTCCGCATCCCTTCTCACTGCTAGGTTACATGTCAGGGTCGGGCTGCTTTAAAAGGCTGCACACAAAACCAGTCGGCAAGTAGTGGTGGTTACTGTGCGCATGGAGTACTCACAGGTGAACTGTACGACAGGAACTCCTCCACAGCATCCACAACAAAGAGCCCCGTCACCGCTGCCGTCTGCGCTGCCCTGATGGTCAGGTAGCCATCGCCGCCTGACCAGAGGGAGTGGGGAGGGCCGGGGAAGGGCGGAGAGGTAGGTTAAGGGTGGGATGTAAGGGTGTATTGGTAGGCCAACATCACCCCCATTTCAGGACAGACCCTAGCACAGGACAGTGCTACGTGTACTGTGCTAGGGGACTCAACAACTCGGTATCCGGGCCCCAAAGCAGCAGCAGTAGCTGCAGCAGCTGCGAATCCAGATTGACCCACACCAAAAGTTTGGAAAACAGCAAAGGAGTTCAACAGGGGAAGAAGTAACGCAGATGATGGTTTTCCTCAATGGCAAAGTAAGGTCGTTGAGGCAAAAGTGTAACGAACCAACACGCTGGGCGACGCTGCCAGCATCCGTGTCAACGGGTACCCTAATATTAGGGCAACCACCGCATCTAGGCCGTACAGCTGTACGGAGCCCGTTGCAAAAGGCTGTTGGATTCACAGCGTTACCCTAATATGTACGGCACCTGATGGGTAGCGACGCTACCATGCTACAGTACTATATATTACAGAAAGGTGTGTATGTATTTGTGTGTATGTGTGTATGTGTGTAAAACATCACTAGCAGGCACGTGATGGTGTTCCATTGTCGCACTCACATTGCTTGTGCGCCGCCGTTAATGTTTGTGTGGGGGCCCCTACCCCCTATGTTCTTTGTGCCGTTCTAGCGATATCCTCCGGACACCTGAGCAGCACAGCCCCCCATCCGTCAAGTCACACACTTACCCGCCGCCATATAATCGTTGGTCACCAATGCGTACTGGGCGCAAGGATCGACGGGCGAGTACGAACCGTCCCCGTTCGCAACCTCAATGGCCGACACGCGCTGGTTGACCGGCTTGGTGGCGTCGTACGCAAAACGGAAGCCGCCCACCTGTCGAATAAAGTGAAAGGATGCAGTTACATTAACAAACACAGCAAGCTGAAGGAAGCCATTGTGGACGAGCCTCCGTACTTGTTTCCGTACGCCATGTCAAGAGCTAGGGTGTTTGGACCTGCTATTAAGACTTCTACCGTCGGCCCGTTCACACATCAAGCAGTCGTACACGCATTAACGCCGGTACGGCAGATGGCCCTCGGGCCTTAACCCTTGCCGAGCCCTGTGGAATAAAATCCGTAGTCTCGTTCAGCTGATCTTGTCTGTTCCCACCGTTTTCCTTCCTAAAGTGCATATCATCTTACACAGTGCCGTACATATTTCCCCTCCGGTTTCTTCACTCAGCCTCTAAGCTGCCGTAAGGCTGGACACCGGTACCGATCAGCGGCCCGGATGGTGTTGCGGTCTTGAAGGAACACCCCATCGCAGGACGGATGCGGTTAATAGTGCCAACTGCCTACTGCCAACTGCCAACCGCCAACTGCCAAATTGCAGTACGGAAATGTATTTGCATGGCCTATTGTCACCATCATGTACCCCGTACACGGTATCACCTCACCTGTGCAAACTGCCCGATCGCCTCGCCCCCGGCAATGTTGCCCTCAACGCTGTTCTCGAGAGCCGATTTGAGGCCCCTGACGGAAATGCTCTTGATCACCAGGGTGTTGCCGTACGGCAGGGCGGCCGCGATTTGGCCTGCGGTGTTGGTGTTCCCATGTGTCATTTTTTGTTCAACACCGTTTATTAAAAACTTATTAAACTAAGTAATCAATTATTGACACTGTTTTCTGTGTGAGCTGCTAGTTCGGACCGTATGTTGCATGAACTGCATTGGAATCGTTGTTGATGGGGTTGTGTTACACTGTGGGCGGCTCGTCCCGATAAAGGACGAGCACGGGGGGCCTGACCGGGGACCGAAACACAGTGCAGGGTTGTAGGCTGTTACAGAGTGGGAGGCTTCTGAGCCACTTGAACACAAAGGAATTGTGCCTGCATTGCGTGACCCTGTCTACGATATGTATGTACCGTCTCCGCATACACATCGGAAACGGTAAGTGCCCGGGTAGTTGCGATGCAGCGGACACATACATTGAACATGCCTACTGTGTACGACGCCGTACATTCAGCATACCTCCGGTCACCAGTCCAGCAGGGATGTCTGCGCGAATCGAACCAGAGTTCACCATGCACAAATCCGGCCTCACGCCTGTCGTCATCTGTTCATATACGCCACCATTTTAAGAAAAAGGAGGGAAGAGGGGTGCAAGGAGTATAAGGGTGGGAGTCCCTTTGGGACAAGGCTTGGGAACAATGGACGGCACGCAGCAGGACGGCACTGGCCCCAGCATGGCGTATTATTCGCATGCAGGTACGGCAGCACAGATCCATTTTCTGCGATTTACAGATGATGCATGCGTTTGTTTATACAGAGCGTGTACGCCATCCAAGAACCGCTTGCAGATAGCATCAGTCGAGTTGGTCAAATAAGCTGGTCTTGCAGACACGCGTCTAGATGCCCCGTGTCAGCGTGGGTGGGTTTTAGAACATGCGGATTTGGAGCTGATTTCACGTTTGTTACAGGGCCCCGGGGGTCCCGTCCCCCACTACTACATGTGAACCTTCGCGCACCTCGGCATACCACATCATGGCGTCACAGACGAAGTCACCGATGGGGGCCTCGCCCAGGCGAACAGTGGCCTTGTCGGAAACCAGGGTGTGCGACAGAGTGCCCAGTGCGCAGGAGGCGGTGGAGACGGGCTCCGCGGAGCAGATGCCGCTGCTGCCGCCCAGGTCGCAGCGGTTGATGCGGCCCTCGGCAGCAGCGTAGCCGGTGACCTGCAGGGACAGGAAGAGAGAGCCGTGAGGACCATCGGGCATGAGAAAGACGCGTGTGTGTGCACTGCGGCTCCAACCGCCCCACATACAACGTAATCACTAGTCACGCCATACGTGCTTTAGACACTATAAATGTTTAGACGCTATATCTATCTACCATACAGGATATGCTCGGTACGCAACTTATCGTACACGCGGCATATGCTACATATGCTACACAAGGGTTAGCGTATAAACGACCTATGAGACACCAGAGCCACACTCGGTAGCAACAACGGTAAAAGTACACGTTCCAAAGCCTGGCATGAATGGGGGCGCGGGGACCTGCTGAGGGGCGAATGGGTCCCTGCGTATCCCTTGGTACCACCTGCGGGGGATTCAACGCGCACATACACACACACACACACACACACACAGACACACGCACACACAGACACGCACACACACAGACACACACACACAGACACACAGACACACACACACAGCCACGCACACACACACACAGACAGACACACAGACACACACACACACAGACACACACACACAGACACACACAGACACACACACAGACACACACACAGACACACACACAGACACACACACACACACACACACACACACAGACACACACACATATATGCGTCCGCATCCCTTCTCACTGCTAGGTTACATGTCAGGGTCGGGCTGCTTTAAAAGGCTGCACACAAAACCAGTCGGCAAGTAGTGGTGGTTACTGTGCGCATGGAGTACTCACAGGTGAACTGTACGACAGGAACTCCTCCACAGCATCCACAACAAAGAGCCCCGTCACCGCTGCCGTCTGCGCTGCCCTGATGGTCAGGTAGCCATCGCCGCCTGACCAGAGGGAGTGGGGAGGGCCGGGGAAGGGCGGAGAGGTAGGTTAAGGGTGGGATGTAAGGGTGTATTGGTAGGCCAACATCACCCCCATTTCAGGACAGACCCTAGCACAGGACAGTGCTACGTGTACTGTGCTAGGGGACTCAACAACTCGGTATCCGGGCCCCAAAGCAGCAGCAGTAGCTGCAGCAGCTGCGAATCCAGATTGACCCACACCAAAAGTTTGGAAAACAGCAAAGGAGTTCAACAGGGGAAGAAGTAACGCAGATGATGGTTTTCCTCAATGGCAAAGTAAGGTCGTTGAGGCAAAAGTGTAACGAACCAACACGCTGGGCGACGCTGCCAGCATCCGTGTCAACGGGTACCCTAATATTAGGGCAACCACCGCATCTAGGCCGTACAGCTGTACGGAGCCCGTTGCAAAAGGCTGTTGGATTCACAGCGTTACCCTAATATGTACGGCACCTGATGGGTAGCGACGCTACCATGCTACAGTACTATATATTACAGAAAGGTGTGTATGTATTTGTGTGTATGTGTGTATGTGTGTAAAACATCACTAGCAGGCACGTGATGGTGTTCCATTGTCGCACTCACATTGCTTGTGCGCCGCCGTTAATGTTTGTGTGGGGGCCCCTACCCCCTATGTTCTTTGTGCCGTTCTAGCGATATCCTCCGGACACCAGAGCAGCACAGCCCCCCATCCGTCAAGTCACACACTTACCCGCCGCCATATAATCGTTGGTCACCAATGCGTACTGGGCGCAAGGATCGACGGGCGAGTACGAACCGTCCCCGTTCGCAACCTCAATGGCCGACACGCGCTGGTTGACCGGCTTGGTGGCGTCGTACGCAAAACGGAAGCCGCCCACCTGTCGAATAACGTGAAAGCATGCAGTTTCATCAACAAACACAGCAAGTTGAAGGAAGCCTTTGTGGACGAGCCTCCTTACTTGTTTCCGTACGCCATGTCAAAAGCTAGGGTGTTTGGACCTGCTATTAAAACTTCTACCGTCGGCCCGTTCACACATCAAGCAGTAGTACACGCATTAACGCCGGTACGGCAGATGGCCCTCGGGCCTTAACCCTTGCCGAGCCCTGTGGAATAAAATCCGCAGTCTCGTTCAGCTGATCTTGTCTGTTCCCACCGTTTTCCTTCCTAAAGTGCATATCATCTTAAACAGTGCCGTACATATTTCGCCTCCGGTTTCTTCACTCAGCCTCTAAGCTGCCGTAAGGCTGGACACCGGTAGCGATCAGCGGCCCGACTGGTGTTGCGGTCTTGAGGGAACACCCCATCGCAGGACGGATGCGGTTAATATGCCAACTGCCAACTGTCAACTGCCAGCTGCCAACTGCCAAATTGCCAATGGTTCACAACTTGGATCCCGTTGCAGTTCGGCGGTGCAGAAGTAGCTACTAGGCACCATAAGTAACACATGCACACATGCATCCTGTGGGGATCAGCTGCACCGTCATGTACACGGCCACGGTATCACCTCACCTGTGCAAACTGCCCGATCGCCTCGCCCCCGGCAATGTTGCCCTCAACGCTGTTCTCGAGAGCCGATTTGAGGCCCGTAACGGAAATGAACTTGAGCACCAGGGTATTGCCGTACGGCAGGGCGGCCGCGATTTGACCTACGGTGTTGGTTTTGTTCGTTGGAAATAGATTGATTAAATTCAAGGCCTGGTTAAACTTCACTGCGACATGGACAGGTTGTAGCGCCATGATCACCAACATCGTGTACACTGTTCCACGCCATGCATGGCCGTGTGCAACCGTGTACAGCCATGTGCAGCCATGTACGACAACCTACGTATTTATATAAATAATGTTAGTCCGAATAATGGTTAGATGTCATTGCAGTAGCAATCCAGCTCCTGGACATACGGCCATGGGCGTTATGCATGGTTTCCTTCATCCCTTAGTTTCTGACCGCATCAGTATTTTACCAGCAGCCAGGTATCCTGTGCTGCAATAATTAGCATTAACAATACCCTTTGCAAGTCTGTCTACAATGATAATCCTACCTATCAGCACTCATGGCCGTACATGCAATGCCGTACACTGAATGCGTACCTGAGGTCACAGGTCCCGCAGGAAGATTCGCGCGGATCGAACCGGAGTTCACCATGCAGAAATCCGGCGTTGTTTGGAAATAGCGCTGTCGATAACGACAGGAACAAGCACGGATAATGGGTTGTTGGGGAATCGTAATTGATGGGTATTATAATCAAGGAACTGCTAAGGTCCGTCCCGACAAGGTCGGACAGGGCGGCAAACGCACGCGCCGGCACCGAACAAAGAGGTGTTTGGTACACGCGAGCACCGCAACAACGTACGGCAAAACAAGGCATCCATTACTTAAACGCGCATGTTCTGAATCTGAACCTTGCTATTAGGCGCAGCCCACCAGACCGTCTTCATACTTCAGGATGGATGGCAGTAGCGCAATGGACGTCGGTGTGATCATATTAGCGCGTACGATGGGGAGAGTACGTGAAGGGATGTTGGTTCCGTTCGTATCCCCCAGCTCCCCGTCCTCACCCTGCGGGCCCCTCCCTCCCTCCCAACGCACCTCTGCATACCACATCATGGCGTCACAGACGAAGTCACCGATGGGGGCCTGGCCCAGGCGAACAGTGGCCTTGTCGGAAACCAGGGTGTGCGACAGAGTGCCCAGTGCGCAGGAGGCGGTGGAGACGGGCTCCGCGGAGCAGATGTCGCTGCTGCCGCCCAGGTCGCAGCGGTTGATGCGGCCCTCGGCAGCAGCGTAGCCGGTGACCTGCAGGGACAGGAAGGAAGAGCCGTGAGGGCCATCGGGCATGAGGAAGGCACGTGAACGAGGGAAATCAATGTGGACGAAGTAACGGAGCTTTTGAGAAACGCTTCTTTGACGGCGCGCATGTGCCGCCCTGTCCGACCTTGTCCGTCAATTTCAAATTATGACGGAGTTATGGTGACTGATGATGAGCAGCGGTCGGTGTTTGCTATAGCGCTGCATTGCCAAAGCTACGAACAGGCCT